AGGTATTATCTTCCTTTTCCAGTTGAGGAAATTGAAGTTCACAGTTAGTAAATGGCAGAGCAGGTCTTTTAAACCCCCAAGCTGGGCCTCTTTTTCACTACTGAGAGTTGCCTTCCAAAGATATTTAGAACTGCTGTCTCAGAAGCCAGAAATGTGCCAGCCTGAGATCCTCCAACACAGTAACAACAGTTGTGTGAGCTTTTCCTCTTCAGTGGTCTGACCAGGTTAGGTGTTTCATTAAGCCCTGGCCTTCAAAAAGCCCTGCATGTGGTTACCAAGGCCATGCTCCCCCTGGGGCACCCAGTTGAATAGTATCAGTCCTCAAAGGCCTGACTTAACTAAGGTGGAGCATCTCCCTTTTCTCTCTGTGATAGTGTCTACTTTCCACTTTGACATCGTCTGTACCTTGCTGATCCTGAGAGCTGTTGACAATCCTGGTAGTGATCATCTGTCTAGAACAGAAAGGGTGGGGTAAGGGAGGGTGGCTAGTGGAGGAAGAGCTGTTGGAAGAGAGGTCTCTCTCTTAACAACTTACCTTTTCACTTAGGATCTACAACTCAACCTCAGGTATTATGTAGGCTTAGGGCCGTATTCAGAGGAGTTGGGTTCTCTTCTGTTCCCATTTTATGCCTTTGAAGCCCAAAGAGCGTAGGGGTTTCCCCTCAAGGGAATGTGCCAAGGCCTTCTGCTCTTTCCACATAGTGCGCCGTAGAGCTCTACACCCAGAACGTGCCACGGACAACCACAGTGACAGTGAAGAGGAGCTTGCTGCCTTCTGTCCTCAGGTATCTTGGGTGTGGGAGCTGCACCACTGGCCAGTTTTCTTTAAGATTTGTTATTGATTTTTAGAGAGAGAAGAAGGGAGAGGGAGAGAGAGAAACATTGATGTAAGAGAGCTAAACATTACTTGGCTGCCTCCTGCACGCCTCCTACCAGGGATTGAGCCCGCAACCCGGGCATGTGCCCTGACCGGGAATCAAACTGGCAACCTTCCGAAGCACGGGATGATGCCCAACCAAATGATCCAGACTGGTCAGGGCTGGCCAGTTTTCTTTAGCTCCCGTTAACATCTGGCATCTAAATTTAGACAATAAGCTCATGGGCTTAAGCACTCTCCCTCTTGCCCCCATGAGAGTCTAGACCTGAGCATAACTGGCACTCCTATGAAGAGAGAAGCTAGTGTTACATTGGAACTTTGTAGATCTCAGTTTGAGTCTGGTGACCAGCACACCCTCTTTCATGTCTCCCTTTAACCCCTACCGTCATGACAGAACTTCTGGTACTGATGTGATCATCTTTTTTTTTTTTATCTTCACCCGAGGACATTTTTCCATATTTTGTACAGATAGAGTGGGAGGGGGAGAGAGGAAGAGAGAGAGAGAGAGAGAGAAAAACATCGATGTGAAAGGGACACATCGAGTGGCTGCCACCCGCTCGACCAACCAGGGCCAGGGACAGACTGCAACCGAGGTACATGCCCTTAGAGGGAACCGAACCTGGGTCTCTCCGGACTGCAGGCTGATGCTCTAACTGCTGAGCCAAACCAGCCAGGGCCATCTTTTTTTTATATATATATATATTTTGGTACGTGCCCCTAGCGGGAACTGAACCCGGACTCTCTGGTCCGCAGGCCGACGCTCCAACTGCTGAGCCAAACTGGCCAGGGCTGATTTGATCATCTTTTAAAGATCCCTGCTCACCTTTGGTTGGGCAGTGTGTGTATCTCCAGGTCACCTATGAAAAGTATTCTCTGGATCAGTTTGTGTAAGAGTAAGTGGCTGGTTGACTCCTATGACTGCTTTCCTTCCTGTGCTCAAGATTGATGAATAAGGGTGTTTTCCTCGGGGGAGCAGCCTAAAAATGGTCAAGATTTTGACAGAAGTCCCCATCCACACCTGGTTACACTTCTGGCCTTAGGGTAGCATTTAGGGCCAGCTAGTAAAGCTGTTACTAGGGAACTGCATCTGTTCTTAATGACATCATCTCTTGTCTGTCTTTTCTTTTCTAAGCTGGATGATTCTACTGTTGCCAGGGAATTGGCCATCACAGACTCTGAGCACTCGGATGCTGAGGTCTCCTGTACAGACAATGGCACATTCAATCTTTCACGGGGCCAAACACCTCTAACAGAAGGCTCTGAAGGTGAGGGGAACCTTGGACCTGAGTTGATAATGGCTCTGACTGTTGCCTTTCAGCTTCCCCAAACAGAAGGGATACTGCCGTCTCTTCTCCTGTTTTTTGAGTAGTGGATCAGGTGGCAGAGCAGCCGTAGGGGATGGCTACAGCCAGGATGGTACAGCTGCTGTCCTTGGAATCCTCATTTTCTTAGTCGCCTCAGGTTGTAGGTTCATGGGGGGCATAGTGGAAGAAGAGAGGGGAAGTTTTCTGACCAGTAGAGGTCACAACAGTCCATAAGTGGAGGGTAAAAGCTGACCAGTGCCATGGGTTTTGCTTAACCCTTAGATATTCAAGGTGAAAAAATGTGGTTACATGGGGCTGACTTTGTGGGGCTGGGCCAGGCAGTTGCCATGTCTCAGACAGCCTTCTATGCTCTCAGACCTAGATGGTCACAGTGATGCAGAGGAATCCTTTGCGAGAGACCTTCCAGACTTCCCTTCCATTAATGTGGATCCTGCTGGCCTGGATGATGAGGACGATACCAGCATTGGAATGCCCAGCTTGATGTACCGTTCCCCACCAGGGGCTGAGGAGCCCCAGGTTCCCCCCGCCAGCCGGGATGAGGCTGCACTGCCGGAGCTCCTGCTTGGTGCCCTGCCTGCAGGATCCAACCTCACCAGCAACCTTGCCAGCCTGGTCTCCCAAGGCATGATCCAGCTGGCCCTGTCAGGGGCCTCCCAGCCAGGCCCTTCTGGCCCACCTCCCCGGAGAGCAACCAGAGGCTTCCTCCGGGCTCCCAGCTCAGACCTGGACACTGATGCTGAGGGAGATGACTTTGAACTTCTGGACCAGTCAGAGCTTAATCAGCTGGACCCTGCCAGTTCCAGGAGCCACTGAGACAGAGACTCCTTTCGGGGGTCACTGTGGTTTAGGTTTTTTTTTCCTCATCCCACTAAAGGTGAATGGGCAAGGGAAGAACCCAGGTCCCATCCCCTGAATTATATTTGTATGCCTGGTGACCTGGCTGATGCTCAGAGACCTGTTGAGAGAGGATACTCACTTCCCTGCTACCAGCTGGACACCCATTTCTGAGCTCAGTCACTGAAGTGAGAATGTGCTTCCTTAGGGAGGCTTCTCTCAATCAGGATGGTACTTTTGGGGAACAAAATAGTGAGGGGTATTGGTTCCCCTTTGAGGGGGTGCTGCTCTTTGGTTCTAGGTATGGGTGCTCAGGGGCCCTCATTGACAGAAGAGCCCTTCCTTTCCTTCCTCCTCCTTCATCACCTCCCTAGAGGTCCAAGTCAGGCAGAAGCTGGAAGAGTTACATTGTCATTCTCTCTTGCTAAGCCATGATTTGCTTTGTCTTTTTCTAAGCAAGCTCGTCCTTTGCAGGCCTGTTCCCTCTGTCCCAGTCCATCCTCATTTCTTGAGGCCTAACCCCCAGTGCTCCAAAACAGTGCTTGTGAAATTTAAATGTGAACATGGGTGGGGGGGCCTCTTCTACATTACATTGGGCCATGGGGTCAGCTGGCTAGAAGGGTGAGTGCCTCTATGTCTCTTGGTCTCACTGAATCTTCTGGAGCTGCATGGTTGTCTTTGGTGCTGCTAACCCTGGCTCCATTTGACCATCAGCCTGATCAACTAGCAAAGCAATACCATACCATTCCCATTTCCATATTCCTGTTCCTTCCCCTGCTCCTCCTTTGGAGAAGCAATATTCTGTGGGGGATGCCAGAGTAGCACTAATGGCTCAGTGGCATTCATCCCAGGAGCCACCAGCTCTTCTAGCACCAGCTATTCTTACTCTGTGTTCATCTCCTTTAATACTTTTTATATTGAATTGCTCCCCAACTTGGTAGGGCCTCTTTTAAGGATGAGCCCCATTAGCAAGAATGTGTCTGTAATGTGCAGAGACCCCTCTAAGATATCTGTTAGACTGCCCCTAGTAAAATCATGTGAGACAAAAACTAAAATTGGTAATTAGTTCTAAACCTGTGTCTGTTTGCACCCTCTCTCTGCTTCCCCAATCAGAGCTCAAGCTAAACTCTCCTATTGTCTTTCTCTCTACATTAACCATTTGCTGATCCTCAGGGACCACTCCCCCAACCACCTGGGTGAGGGATGCTGGACAGAGCCCATTTTCATGCACGACAGGTGGGAGTGTGCTGACATGTTTGCTCTTGGTTGATGGAAGGTAGAGGCCAGGAATTGAAAATAGTTAACAGAAGGGAGAAGAGCTAGGTGCCTGTTTCATAGTCACCTTTGTGTGAAGGTTAGGGGTAATGGCATCTCCTCACTTTAGGGTTCTCAAATAGATTTGGGGCACCTTATCTTTTCAGAGCCCAGATGTATTACAGGTGATTTCTGATGTGGAAAAAAATGGGAGGTGTGAGAAAGGAGTGGGGTTTTGTGTGTTTGCATGAGTGTGTGTAGCTCCAGGCCTTGGGAGTTAGCAAGAGGGAGGGAAGGAAGGAGAGCAGAGTCTTGGGAAGGTGTTTCTTGTACCTGGGGGATCCTGCTCTGAATCTCCATAGTCCTCCACTGTGAATTGGGGTGGGGATAGGGGTGGGAGGGATGCTGGGGAATAAATCTTGTATGAGAACAATCTTTAAGAGACTAATGTTGAATAGTGTCATACCCTTGATAGGTTTTCTCATTAATCTGATATGTGATTAATTTTAACCGGCACTCTTGGCCGGCATCTAGCCTGCAGTTCCATCCTTTTTAATTATTATTTTTTAATTCTCACATGAGGATATGCTTGTACTGATTTTAGAAAGGGGAAGAGAGAGAAACATTGACGTATGAGAGAAACACCAATAGGTTGGCTCCTGTACGCACCCCTACTGGGGATCGAATCCGCAAATTAAGTATGTGTCCCGACTGGGGACAGAACTAGCATCCTTTTGGTGCATGGCGATGCTCCAACCAACTGAGCCCCTAGCTGAGCCACACTGGCCAGGGCATCTAATTCTTGGTACTGCCCCTTAAATGTGTGAAGACAAGTACATCCAAAGGCTAAAGAGATTTTAGATAACAGAAGGCTTTAAAAAGTAACACCATGTACCTTCTTTGGATTGTTTGAGTTGCAGGGACAGCTGCTCTTTAGCCTTCAGCTGACCTCAGAAACTAGACATACTTATTTTAAGCTTTGTCCCATTGGCCACTGTGGGCAGGAGTGGAAAGCACCTGCCAGGTGTTGCCATAAGATTGACTCAGCCAACAGGAAACTTCTAAAAGCTTCGTGGTTTAAGAATAGCCTCCTCCCAACCCCACCTTTCTTTCCTTGGCATTCAAACCACAGCATGAATTGAGCGCCCCCTGTGTGCGGGGCTCGGTAACGAGCAAACACGGGTGACGTTGCCTCTTTCCAGAGTGTTTTACGCACCCAATATATTAGGTCCTCACGACCACCCTTCTGCAAGTGCCTTCGGTTCCTATTTCACTAATGAGACTAACTGGCAAAGAGTCTCGGGCCGTGGGATAAGACATGTCCCTGTGAGTAACTTCCCTGTGACCTTGACCAAGCCGCTTGCCCAGTGAGAGTTGACCGTGAGGTTTCTTCCCGTTGGAACATTCATTCCTGCCGAGGGTCACGAGTGCGTAACCGCCGCTGGTGCTGGGTCACAAACCCAAGGCGTGATTTAACCACGCTTTCGTCCCAAGAGGGAGGAAGGGAGAAACTGGAAGCGTGTATCCCCGCCTCCGCAGACTCCCGAGGCAGGGGCTCGGGCCGGCGCCCACGCTCCGGGCAGAATCAACTACGGTGCCCGGGAAGGGTCGTCTCGTTCCTCGCGAAGGCTTCCCCTTCCGCCAGTCACCGCACCAGGGCAGCCCCTCCCGTCGCCGGAAGAAGGCGTTGCCCTGAGCAACTGTAACGTCCGGCGGTCGGAGTTTGGCGGCGGGAAAGGCCATGAGTAAAGGCCGGGCTGAAGCCGCGACTGGAGGTTAGCGGGCCCTGGGAGCCGGGAAGACCCGGAGGGGAGCGGGTGAGGGAGGTCAGCTGAGTGACCCTCCTCCCCTGCCTCGTCTCTTCCCGTAGCCCCCGGGATCCTTCTGAAGTACCTGCAGGAGCAGAACCGGCCCTACAGCGCCCAGGATGTGTTCGGGAACCTGCAGCGGGAACACGGACTGGGCAAAGCGGTGAGGACTCTGTCCCGGGACTCCTCCCGTTGGGACCCCTCCAGTCAGCCTGGGGTCCTGCCGTCCGGAGGCTGCCATTGTAGCCCTGGGCTTCCTAAGGCTTTTCGCGCGCTGCCCCCATCCCTGGCTGCCCGGCCCGAGGTCACTGATTGCTCCGCACTCTCCCCTATGCCAGGCTGTGGTGAAGGCGCTGGAGCAGCTGGCCCAACAAGGCAAGATCAAAGAGAAGATGTATGGCAAGCAGAAGATATATTTTGCGGACCAGGTGAGGGAAGCCTGCGCAAATTATCGCCCGTGTGCGAGCTCAGTATTAGGTGAATCAATCCCTAGTATGAACTCTCTTTGGGAGAATTGAGGCAGTCCTTGAAACTCAGCTGTCTTACGCCATTAAAAGGGCCCCAGCCCTGGCCGGTTTGGCTCAGCGGTTAGAGCGTCGGCCTGCGGTCCCGAGAGTCCCGGGTCCGGTTCCCGCTAAGGCTACGTACCTCGGTTGCAGTTTGTCCCCGGCCCTTGTTGTGTTGTGCGGCCACTCGATGTGCCCCTTTCACGTCGATGTTTCTCTCTCTCTCTCCCTTCCACTCTATCTGAACAACAAAATGGAAAGGTGTCCTCAGCTGAGGATAAAAAAAGGGGGGGGGGGCAGCCATCCTTTAAATCAGTGTGTGTACTCCTTTGCTATGATCCAAACTTCATGAGATTTCCAGTTTTGAAATATAATAGATGACAGAAAATCCAAGATCGATTTCCGCTTGGAAGTTCTTATTCCCCATCATCTATCTAGATTAGAACCATCTTCTGCCAAATGATTTTCTCTGTCTCCACCCAACTCCCTAAACACACACATTAAGTTTGTATCTCCAGCCCAGGCCTTCATCTGAATGTCTTTTACAATCATTATGGCTGAAGTAGAATGCTCCATCTCTCCCCTAAACTGACTCCTCTCACTTTTTTTTGTTAGTCCTCATCTGAGGATTTTTTTTGAGAGTGGACGGGGAGAGAGGGCGGGAGGGAGAAAGAGAGAGACAGACCTCATGCAAGAGAAAGGCACAGATTGCTTGCCTCCTGCACTCAGCTTGGCTGGCCAGGGATTGAACCTGCAACCCAAGTACATGCCCTTGACTGGGAATCGAACCTGTGACCCTTTTGTCTATGGGCAGACACTCTAGCCTCTAAGCCACACTGGCCAGGGAGCATTCTTCTTTTTTTAATCCTCATCCGAGAACACTTCCATTTTTGTTCAGATAGAGTAGGAGGGAGGGAGAGAGAGAGAAACATCAATATGAGAGGGACATATCGACTGGTTGCCTCCTGCACAACTGGACCAGGGCTGGGTATGAACCGCAACCAAGGTATGTGCCCTTGACTGGAATCGAACCCAAGACTCTAGTCTTTGGGCTGACACGCTACTGCTGAGCCAAACCGGTCAGGGCCATTCTTCTTTCTTTTTTTTTTTTTTTATCCTCACCCGAGGACATTTTTGCAATTTTTGTACAGATAGAGTCGGGGGAGAGAGAGAGAGAGAGAAACATCGACGTGAAAGGGACACTTCGAGTGGCTGCCACCCACATGACCGACCAGGGCCGGGGACAAACTGCAACCGAAGTACGTGCCCTTAGCGGGAACCGAACCCGGGTCTCTCCAGACCGCAGGCCAACGCGCCAACCGCTGAGCCAAACCGGCCAGGGCCCATTCTTCTTTCTTAATGGAATCACTCTTCATCCAAGCCAGAGACTAGGGAATCCTTTTTTCTTTTAAGAGAGTGGAAGAGAGGAAGAGAGAGACATTGTTGGTTGCCTCCCACAGAACCCCAACCAGGGCCAGAGAGAGAACCTGCACTTCAGGTACATGCCCTTGCCCGGAATCAAACCCATGACCTGTTGGTCCATAGGCTGACACTCTAAACCACTGAGCCAAACCCATCAGGGTTAGGGAATCATTCCTAACTTCCCTTATCTCACATGGCTAGCCATCCATCAAGTCCAGTTGATTTTCCCCTTCTTGAATGCATCCTCGCCTTTCCACCTGCCATCACTGCTCTAGTTCAGGCATTCCTTATCTACTGCAGTATCCTAACAGATCTCCTGGCCTCCTCAAACATTGCAGCCAGTGATCTGTGTTAATGAAAATCTAGCCTGCCATTTCCCTACTTAAAACTAGTGCTCTCTGGAACAGGTAAAAGGCACTTGGGAGACTTGGCCCCAGCCTGCCTCTAACATCACCTGTCCATGTTATTTCTGTCCACTAATACTAGACCATTTATATGTTTTACTCCTGTATCCTTTGCTCATTGTCCTCCCTCTGCCTTTTTAGTCCCTTCTTCCTCTTCTGCCTCTTTGCCCAGCTCTTATTCCTCCTTTAGAATTTCACTCAGGTATTACCTTCTCTAGAAACCTTTCCTAGATGCTCTGAGCTAATGGCCTCTTCTTCAGGTGCTTACCTCTTGAGGCATACTGTATTATAATTGTCTTTTTACTTGTCTCCCTCACTAAACCATCCTAGGACAGACCCCACTTCTCACTCATCTTTCTTTGCTTAGCACTCCACAGTATTTAACATCCAATAGACATTAAATACTTGTTTAACTGAACCAAATCACCATCAAGGCTAATTTTCCTAAAATAGGTTTCATTACTTTATTACTCTGTTGAAGGTCTCCTACATGAGAAGTTGGCAGATTTTTTTTCTGTAAAGGGCCAGGCAGTTAATATTGTTATGCTTTGCAGGCCAGATGGTCTCTTGCCACAGCTACAGAACTGTCACAGCTACTCAAGTCCACCACTGTAGAGCAAAAGCTGCTGTAGACAATATGTAATGAATGGGTTTGGCTGTTTCAGTATATTTTTGTTTTGAGACATGCATCTGGCAGGATTTGGCTTACAGGCTGTAGCCTCTTGCTGTAAAGGTTTAACCTTGCCTTAATGTAGAGTCCAGGCTGCCCAGGCTGGATTACATCCTTTCTAACCTGCTCCCCATCACCAACTGATGAGACTCCACCTGAGCCCAACACAGTCCTTTTCTAGCAGCTGGTCTCTTATGGGAGGGGTTCCTCAGACTTTATTACTAGAGTCTATTAACTAAATACCTCCCCCCATTCCTCTTTCCCTGTCGACTCTTCCTATTGTGGAAGCCCACAATTTAGGTATCACCACTTTGGGAAGAATGTTCCTTTACTCCTTCAGCCCAGTGAGAGGCCTGACCATTAAACTGAAAGATACTTGTCCTGTTCAGTCTCCTGCCAACCTAGAAGCTCCTTGAAGACAGACATTAGATTTCAACTTTTTTTTTTTATCCTCACCCAAGGACATTTTTTTTCCATTTTTTGTTCAGATAGAGTGGGAGTGGGAGGGAGAGAGAGAAAAATTGACATGAAAGGGACACATCAAGTGGCTGCCACCCACATGACCAACCAGGGCCGGGGACAAACTGCAACCGAGGTACATGCCCTTAGCGGGAATCGAACCCGAGTCTCTGGACCACAGGCTGATGCTCTAACCACTGAGCAAAACCGGCCAGGGCTAGATTTCAACTTTGATTCCTTTTTTGTTGGATCCAGTACAAAACTGAATTTCTCAAAAGTACATTCCCGCTATTTTGGAGGGTCCTTTGGAAGGTTGGGTTCTTAAGTGTATGTGTCACACATCAGCCCACTTTCCTTTTTCTTGTCTTTCGCAGGACCAGTTTGAAATGGTGAGTGATGCCGACCTCCAAAGCCTGGATGCCAAAATTGTGACCCTCACTGCCAAGGTGCAGAGCTTGCAGCAGAGCTGCCGCCACATGGAGGCTGGTAGGAATGAGCTGTTGCAGAGGGTGCCCTAGTGTCAGGGTCAGTCCAGAGATCAGGAATGACTAAGGGAATGGTTGGACTGCATTTCTCACTGCAGTGAAGATCCCTTTGCTGGGCTGCTATCCCATTACAGTAAAAGAAATATATGATAACTAATGGCTTTTAAAATACAAACGGGAGGGCTGGCTTTAGCTCAGTGGTTCCTTTGCATCGAACTCTCAGTTTGCTAAACACTCTTGTCTGCGAGGGTGGTTCGAGACCCGCAGGTACTCTCCAGCTCTTTAGAAAAATAATAATAATAAAATATAAATGGGTAATTGCTTTCCCTACCATGAGTATGAGTATACTGTTCCCACACTTCCCTTTATTCCTGCTCCTTTCACTGGCTACAGCTTAGTCTGTTTAGCCTCACACCTGACCACTACTTGTAGCTGGAGCAGGAAACTAGATAAACTGATGATTCTGTAAGTCTTAATCTTTCCTGAGCATTTGCAGAATAAGGGGCCCATTCTGGACCCTGGGTGCAGAACCCAGAGCAAGTGGAGGCCTGGTATCCTACCTCAGGGAGTGCCCACTGGGAGAGAACCCCTTCCTTGGGGGATACCAAGTGATCTCAGGGAGACATGGTTTCAGAGCTGAAGGAGTTGAGTAGTGCCCTGACCACACCGGAGATGCAGAAAGAGATCCAGGAATTAAAGAAGGAATGTGCTGGCTATACAGAGAGATTGAAGAACATCAAAGCAGCCACCAACCATGTGACCCCAGAAGAGAAAGAACAGGTGAGTTGGGAGGGAGGACTAGTAGGGAGGGCTGCCAGTGTAGAGAACTGTGGTCAAGGGTTTAGAGGAACCTGTTTCCTCTGTCCAGGTGTACAGAGAGAGGCAGAAGTACTGCAAGGAGTGGAGGAAGCGCAAGAGAATGGTAAGTGCAGGAACTCCAAGGCAGCCCCCAGAGAAACTGCTGCCCCATATCATGGATCTGTCAGGCAGTGCCAAGTACTGCCCATTTGCAAAGGGGTGGTTTTGTTTCTTGTCAGGCAACAGAGCTGTGTGATGCAATCCTTGAAGGATACCCCAAGAGCAAGAAGCAGTTCTTTGTGAGTGGTTCTCTTTTCCTTCCTTGCTCCCCTGGGGTTTCATCTAAGGTCTCATTCACTTGTCTCATTGCCCCACAGGAGGAAGTTGGGATAGAGACAGATGAAGATTATAACGTCAAACTCCCAGACCCTTGAGAGCCCCTGTAGTGGGATTGGGTATGGGGACAGAGATCTCCCAGACTGGCTGCTGTTCAGGCCAGCTTTTTTGTTGTTGTTACTGCTGCTTTCCACCTTCGACCAGAGCATTTGGGAGAGGGGCATAAACCAGAGTACCAGGCAGAGAGGGAGGGGAGTGCTAGTCACCCAGAGTAGACGGTTATGCTCATTACATGGTCCACATTTCAACTGCTTGAGCTTAACACTTAGACTTGGAACAGAGCTAAAGGAAAGCATTTGGCAATATTTATTGTAATATAATTTGATATAAAAATATTTAATTTCCTCTGGACAATCAAACCTCCCAGATATCAAATCTTAGGAAGGCAGAAGGGAGCTTGGGGAACAAGGGTAGAGAGAGGCTATTATACACTGCATTCAAGGAGTCCAGGGATGTATCACAGACTCTCTTGGGTTCTGTATACTCCAGGCCTTCACCCATCCCCAAGTCCTGGGAGAAATACAGGTAGCACTGAGAGATGGTAGAGACCCAGCTACACCTGAAAAAGGTGGGGGGTGGTTTTGAGGCCCAGCTAATTTTCTCAAATTGTAACTTGAGCAAAATTGCTTTGTTGGTATTTAAAAAAATAAAAATGTTTAATATGTGGTGCTGTGTCACATTTGACTTCACTGTGCAGTGCCAATGCCTGTGGGGACAGAGAGGGCAGAAGTAGGAGGGAAGGTTGCTTCTCTCTGCTGTCCAGAGCAGAGGAGAAAGAGGTGATGGAGTAAACAGCATGAGCAGGAACCTAGCAGCCCTATCCTGAGCTGGCCAGAAAGCCGTGGCTATACCTGGGCTGAGCAGGCAGCTCTAGCCTAGGCATGAGTGGCCTTTCACCCTTCGTAGTTGTTAAAGTATGTTCTCGTAATGCTTTTTTCCTAACTACTGCCGAAATGGCCAAACTTGGGCCAGTTTTCACCAGAGACATCAAAACAGGCTAACAGTAATTTCTAAATATTTGTAGATCATGTGCCAAAATCTGAAATATGAGGCTTAGGAAAGGGGGGTGGTGGTGCCCAGAGCAGATCTTCATTTGAGGACTTCTATGGGGGGAATACTGGGTAGGTTTGAGCTCTATGGTCAATATAATAAATTAATCAGAAGCTTTCACAAACACCCCAGCCACTGAGGATGAGGGGAGCTAGGGGACCAAACATGGAGAAACCAGCTGACTGGTACATGTGTCGCAGTCCAATCTCATAAGCCCAGTGGTTGTGGCCAAGTAGGAGATTCAAGGCCTCTTATTGGCTATATTTGGCTGGTCAGTAAAGCTGGTTCTTCAGCTGGTGCAGGACACCAATCACGATCTCCTGTAGGGTCTGTTGGAGATAGCAGAGGAAGAGACATGTTCAGGTGAGGGCATAGAACTGTCTGTGACACCTGCCTAGAATGGGTTTAAAAAGAAAACCCTTGGGAAGGACTGATATCTACAGTTTACTTTGCAAAATTTGCAATGCCCTCAAAACGGGATGGAGAGATGGACAGCTATGTGAAAAAGCAAATATGGAAAATGTTAATAGAATTCAGGTGATAGATACATGAGTCTTCATTGTAAATCCTCCTGATGTTTCAGTGCCTCAATAAAAATGTTAGGAAACAAAAAAGGAAGGAAAAATCTTGATACAAGTTCAAGCCTCAGAAAAAGCAACTAGGCCTCAAAAGCAGAAGACTCAGTTTAATACCATTAACACACCACACCACTGCATATAATAATAAGCCCCAGTGCCCTGGCCAGTTTGGCTCAGAGATTAGAGCATTGGCCTGTGGATCAGAGTCCCAGGTTTGGTTCCCGCTAAAGGCGCGTACCTCGGTTGCAGTTTGTCCCTGGCCCTGGTTAGGGTCATGTGGGTGGCAACCAGTCGATGTGTCTCTCTGACGTTGATGTTTCTCTCTCTTTCTCCCTCTCTCCCTCCTGCTCTATCTGAAGATAAATGCAAAAATGTCCTTGGGGGAGGATTTAAAAAAAAAAATAAGCCCCAGGAAAAACTACCTTAGTAGGCCTGGGGGTAGGGGCCAGAAATCTTTCCCAAAACCCTAAATAATTCTGCTTCAAGTGATGGGGGCTTATATACTGGGCAGCTGAGTAGTGACTGAGGTGTCCACAACATGGGCTAAACCAAGCCGAACTTGGCCTTATAGGAGGAAGTGCTCAGATCATACCTGATAAATGAAACGGTAACAGGAAATTTTAAGCTTTGGAAGTCAGAAAAGGGGGAAACAAGAGTATTAAAGTTGTAGAAACACCCTGAAGAAACCTAAAATAGGGGCGGGGGAGCAGAATGGGGAGGAGGGTGTCTGGGGGGGGCATCTGTAATAGAAATAAATTAATAAAAATGGGGGGGGTGCTAAAATCTGCTTCCCACCTGAAAATGGTTTGGGTCACTCTGCCTAAGATGGGAGAGAAGACCCCAGGCCTGGTGACCACTGCTGCCCCATACCTGAGGCTTACAGTGCTCCTCAATCCAGCTGAAGACACAGGCTGACAGCTCCTGAAAACTGGCCATGGAAATGGAGGCATTGAAGGACTGGAACAGGGAGTCCATGATGCCTTGAAACAGGTTGAACTTGACCTGGTCAGAGACCTGGTCCTCCCCTTCATGGGGGTTGTCTTGGTGTGCTTTCACAATCTGCTCATAGTTCCTGAAAGCAAGCAGGCCAGGGCAAAGGTGCTACACAGCTCTACCAGGCCAGGAAGAATAGGGTGACCCTTACATACCACCCCCCACATATGGAAGAGGATTCCTAGAGAGCTTTTGAGATATATTAATAAGCTAGATTGTTTCTGGGTCAAAAATAGACACCTATCTTCTCCAACCTTCCTTTCATTAACCCAACAGGCTTTTCCAGAGTGTCTGCTGTGTCAGGGACTATTAGGGTATAGGGGCCTACCTCTAAGTGGCCATCTGAGGGAGTGAGAGTATTATCTGATGTGGCCTTTGAACAAAAGGGAGGATGTGAATGGAAGTTGGCCTCAGTCCCCTCAGAAGCCCTGGTTCCCGCTGTTCAGCACCCCCCTTACACTTTCATGATCTTTAGGGCCATGACGTCCTTGCGTAGGGTGGACACTTCCTCCTCCTGCTTTTTCTTCTCCTTGTGCAAAAACTGGATGTAGTCAATAGCTAGGGTAGGGGTGGGAAGAGGTGGTGGGCACAGAGGAAACTTCAACCAGAGGATAAGGCTGATCTTGTTTCCCTTTTCCCCATACCCCAACTCTCCCATTATAACCACCCCAGCAGGGCCAGGCTGAAAGTGGGTATGAGGCTAGCCTTCTTATGGCCCCATTGGCTCTGACCCCTCCAGTGCTCTCCCTGGCCATACTCTTCTGTAGAACGATGGCTTTGCTGAGCTTTTGGGAGCCAATGGAGAAGTCCTGCTGCTGGCAGGTGGGGACGATGGTCTGAAGGTCGTCATAGCCTCTCTGTGGAGAGAGCAAGGGAAATAGGTTCCTTAACTCTGAGGGGTTAAGGCAAACTGGCACAACATGACACCAAGTTCCAGAGTCACAAACTAAAAGGGACGAAGGGCTGGAAGGAGGGAGGTGTTCATGTCCAGGGACTAGACTAGCTGCCCCCAGGCTGCTTGGGACTATCTAATGGGGTCAGGGCACAATGAGTCTGAAATATGCAGGGCCTTCCTGTGCTGGCTGAGGCCTCCCCAATCACCTTGATAGCATCCCTCCTCTTCTGTTCCGCCTGAGTGTGTGCACGCCGCCGCCGGTCCTTGTAGGATTCCTTGTAGGACTCCTGGTGGTGATCACTGTCCTCATCATCTGTGCTCAGAGTTGGGGGCAGAAAGAGATCATTCTGGGGTCTAGTGAGGCCCAGCTAATCCACCTTTCCCTAACTGGGAAAATGAACGTGGTGCAGAGATGGCAGATGGACATGGGAACCTAATATTCTAGATGAGGTGAAAGATGGTGAGACCCTGCATCTAGCACTCAGGCTCTAACACCCCATGTGGATGGCTGGAGACAAACGATGGCATATCTGAGCCCCGCCAGGTGGGGGACGTTGCTGCCTACCTGTGTTGGGGACAGAAGAGGCACTGGTGGAACCGATGCTATTAGCTCTGGATACTACACTCCCCTTTCGAGTGCTTTCTACAAAAAGCCCTGAAAAAGAGAGGCCTCAGTCACTAGAGGGTAAGGCGGGGTGATACTGCTAGGCCCTTATACACCTGTAGGCACAATGGTTCCCCAATCCTTAAATGCTGACCTCTCCCCTTAAACCCCAAATCCACTTCCTGTAGTGCCATGCTGCAATGCTCCTGTCCTTAGTGTCTACACTGCTCCACATTCGTTGGCTCACAAAGTAACATCTGGGCTTGGTGAGGGTGAGAGTGAGCAGCTGTCACTATTTCCATCACTTCCCTGCCCCAGACCAGAGGTAGCCTGATGTCACCCTCTCATGCCTCCTGCTCTTGTCCTCCAGCCCCTCCCTCCCTGTTTCAGTCTCCTCGGGGGCAGTCAGGCGTGGCTGGCATGGCCGAGCGAATCTATGGGGCTGAAGTGGGAGAGTCACTCGGGCTGAGGACGGTGGGGAGGCACTCACCGGGGTCCAGGCTGTTGTCGCTGTAGGCATACTCCACCTGCAGCACCCAGCAAGGAGAAAAGTTCATCAGAACCCCCGCCCCCGAGGAAGTCTCCCTCCATTCACTGTGGGCACGGACACACACGGGTGCGCAGGCAACTGAAGGACGGACACACACACACACACAGAGTCAAGACTGGCTAGGTCGTGGAGCGTCGCCCCTCGGCATGATCCCTGCCCCTCGGCATGATCCCTCCCGTCCCACACCTCCACCTCCACAGTCCCAAACCCGTCCCCTCACGCGCACACACGCCTCAGTCATCTCCCCACCTTGGCACGCGCAGGGAGTAAGCTGTCTTCTCTGGAGCCTCTGGGCCCGGAGAGCGAAGTGGGGGTACTTTGGGGACCGGAGGGGCTTCCCTCATCTTCTGGACCCCCTACGTGTACACTCCCGACCCACCCTCCCCTCACCGGCGTACTCGCCCACGGGGCTTGCCTTGACCCAGGGGTCCTCCGGAGAGGCGCCGGGTTCCGTCATCTCTGACCCACCGCACCGGAAACCAGCCAGCGGCCGGGCGCCTCGCAGCGAAGAAAAGCGAAGCACGCTCACGTGACCCAAGCCAACCAATCCGCGGCCAAGGGGCAAAGGGCGGGGCGAGAGTGGTGCGCATGTGCAGCAGGGGACACCAAAGCCACCCTGAGTGGGTCGAGTCCTCTGTTCGGGTAGTCACAGGTTGCTTTGGGGACGTCACCGTGCTGGTCTCTTCCTCCCTTGGGGTAGGCGACATGAAGCTCATTCTGTGAAATGGGGTCTCCTCATTGCTCTAGTAGTGTTGCAGATAGTTGTGCACCAGCCCGCAGGGCCACCATGACTTGTAGCCCTGGCCACCTCGTCCCATTTCACCAGGCTGCAGGCTCTGTGATGGTAGAGGCCCACCAGACTTGTTGAAGGGTGATCTTCCAACACCAAGCCCAGCTGGGTACTTGTGGAATTAAAGCTTCCAAAGAGCCAAGTTGTACTACTTTATAGATAAGGAAACTGAGGAACCTAGAAAGTCTGTAACTTGTCCAAATGCACACAGCTAGTCAGTGATAGGGTCAAGGCTGGCCTCAGCCTGGCTAGCTCCAAAGGCCATGCAGTTAACCACTGCACTCCTGGCTTCCAGCTCAGGCCTGAGCCCTGCACTTGTGGCTCAAAGGTCCCAAAGATCCCTAGAGGTATTGGAGCAGGAAGCAGACACCATATACACAGCACATGGAAACATTCACCTTTAATTCTGTTACAAGTTCCAGCGTTTGCCCTACCCCAACCCCACCCACTGACCCCGCCAGCTAGAGGTATCACAGATACCTGTAGGCAAGAAGGGGGTTGGAATTCCAGAGGGGCCTCTTTCCTGATGGGCCACATCCTCAGTGTTGGCCAAGCACCTGCAAGCTGGGTAGGCTTCCTGTATCCATCAGGCCCCGCCCTGCCAGCTTAGCTCAGAGCCCTGTAGGCCCAAGCAAGGGTGAGCATCGAAGCCCCCATTCTGCCTCAACACTGGATTTCTCATCAGCCCCAGGGGCCAATCTGGCCCCACAGAAAACTCATTATCAGTCATGGCTTGATGGCATCTACGCGCTTCTGCAGGAGGGCCCAGGCTTTCTCCACCTTTGGGCAAGCCAGAATGTTGGGAGGAAAAGAAGACAGTCAGGCAGGCATTCACTATAGACTCCCTTCCCACAACCCAGCCTTTCCCTGGGCACCAACCTGGCTCTGGGTGACATGTGGCTCCCATAAGGTGCTTAGCACCACATGGCTCTGGTCCACAAGCTGCTGCCCACTCATCTGGCTCTGCAGCCGGCTCTGAGCCGCAGCCTCACTCAGACCATCCCTCTCCACAATTCGTCGTACAGCCTGGGTACAGACATGACCTTTGTCAGCCAACTTGCTCAGAGCAAGATGCAGTCTGCAGTGGAGATGGGGCGGCAGGTGGGCTCCAGATACCTCAGTCTCAGGGATGACAATGGTCCACACCTCATGCACCATGTTCTGCCAGCCAGCTTCAAGTAGCACGGCAGCTTCAATCACGCACACATGCTTTCCTGTAGGGAGACTCCAGTTACTACCAGCAGTACCCTGCCACTTGCTACCAGTCAGCCAGGCAGTGAAACATAGTCCCTGGGAAAGTGGATGGTCTGGCTTGGAGTGGGGAAACTCCCAGGGAGTTAAGGGCATCTGCTTAACTATGCCCTTCAGCTGCTCCCATCATCCCTCCCACTCACCCTCAGCCACAGCCAGATCCATCTCCTCTCGGGCCAGCTTTGCGATAACTGGCCACATAATGTCCGTAAGCATCTTCAGCTGCTTCTGAGGAGCAGGATAGAGGAATGGACAGTGGTTACCTCCCCTTGAAGATGGAGCCAGCCCAAGAGATGAGGGGGTTGGGAATAGATTAATGGAAACCAGCATTTTTGAGTCAGACCAGAGAGGTCCATTGGGTCCCAACCCCTGGGTCTATAGCAGCTGAGAACCTTTGGAGAGGTGTGTATTTACCTTGTTCCCAAAAACCCGGCTGCCCAGGACCTTCCTGTTGATAATGCCATCTTTATGGAGAATATCTAGATGACAGAGACAGAGGACTGGGCAAGGAGACCTCCCCACTTCAGGCCTCCTCCAGTCCTCTCCAGTTATTACCTGTTCCAAAGGCTTCCACCACGGGCTGGTAGGCAGGACCACCTGGGGCATAGGCTCGATGGCCCAGTTGGTCACAGTCGATGACAAATGCCCCCAGGCCCTTCAGCCGCTGAGCTACTGAGCTTTTTCCAGAGCCACTTATGCCTGTCAGCCCAATCACGTAGAGAGCTGGGGGGAGCTCTGGTCTCTTCTGGGGGTAGATAAAAGGAACCCCAGTTACTAGGGTCCTCAAGGCTCATGCTGGGACAGAATCCTTCAGTCTCTACCTTCCAGCATTTCCAGCCCATCCAAAAAGGGGGTAGGAAGGGAGGACATGCTTACATATGGAGGCCGAAGCAGGTTTCCCAGCATTCGATGGCGGAAACTGGAGGAACTAACTTTGTCCTCTTCGTTTTCCTTGTGGCTTAAGTCCTTCAGTAGCTGGATCTGGAACAAGGCAAGCTCCTCCAGGTCCTGAAGTAAAGAAGGGGTGAGGAGAGGGAAGGAGGGGTGAGATGAAGAAGGGCGAACACTGACACCCAACTTGTTCCCTTATCCTCCCCTACTTACCCCAGAGGTAGAATTAGCCTCACAGGACAACCTGGGAACCAATTCCTCCTTGCTTCTTTCTACCACTTGTGCCCTCTCCCCTCCTCTGTGGTCATGGTATTTCCAACAGCCACCCCCCACAATGGCCTTCCCCATCCCCATCCACTCCCTTTGCCAATCTCCCTCAGGGGTTACATTCTCAAGGCGGAAGCGGTTGACGGCCATCCCCCCACGATAGGTCTCCTCGCTGACCACCAGGAACTCCAGGGAGGGGTCAGAGCCAGCGGGCCCATAGGGGTCCAGCAGGGGGATGATATCAAAAGTCAAGGAGGGCTTGATGTCCACCAGGAACTCACTCAGATGTTCCACACGTTCTGCATAGGGTTGGAGCAGCTCAGGGAGCAACTTGCCTGAGGAAGAAGCCCAGAACAGTGAGATCTTTTTATTGGGGAGGAAGAATGTGGGCCCGTTTGGGGAAGAGTGTCCCTAAGCATTCTGCCTCCAGATGTGGGTGGCAGGAAGAAATGGTTAAGCTGGGAAGTGGTCTAGCTATGAGGGGCAGGCAGCCGGCAAGCACAATAGTCACTGCAAGGGCTGGCATGTGTCCAGATAACTAGCAGTGCCAGGAGGCGTCAGAGCCAAACAGAGACTTTCAAGAACCATATCATCCTTGAGTCCCTTTTTACGGTCCTACCACCACCTACAACTCTCTCATCCATCCATTTATTCCTACAGTCTCAGACCTTATGGTTCCTTATCTGGAGAACTTGTTAAAAGTGCAATTTCCGCCCTGGCCGGTTTGGCACAGTGGTTAGAGCGTCGGCCAGCAGACCAGAGAGACCCGGGTCTGGTTCCCACTCAGGGCACGTACCTCGGTTGCAGTTTGTCCCCGGCCCTGGTTGGGGTTGTGTGGGTGGCAACCAGTCCATGTGTCTCTCTCACATCGATGTTTCTCTCTCTCTCTTCTTCCCTCTCTCCCTCCTGCTCTATCTGAAGATAAATGCAAAAATGTCCTCGGGTGAGGATAAAAAACAACAAAAAATAAAAGTGCAAATTTCTTGGCTCTGTATTTGGGGGATTCTGAATGAGTGGTGACTAGACCACACACTGAGAAAGCTTTTATTTATTTAACAAAATTTTCTTAGCACCAACTGAGTGCCTGGCACTGTGTGTGACATTTGGGAGGGGTAGAAAGTAATGGATAGCCCCACCCTTTCTCAATCTTGGCACTGGCATATTGGGAGTCCTCCACCACCCTAATCCAGTTTCTCCCACTCACTCTTCAGCAGGTCTTTGTCTGCTACTCCCACTACAAGCTGCTCCTGGGCCAGGATGCATGCGACACTGAGCAACACTTTGTGGGCATTGTGCAGGCGGTCAAACGTGCCACCCACTGCCCCGCGATGGTAGCCACGCACTGGCTGCTTTGGAGATCTGGCCCCAGGGGAGGATGACCTGATGGTGGAGGGTAAGGGGACATCCGGGGGCTCCATAGGCAGTTCTCCAGGCCCATAATCGGGGTATAGCAGCACTGAAGCAAGTTGTGGACAACAACTGTAACAGCTGGTGGCATAACGCTCTAGCTGTTGCTTGACCGGGTTGTACTGGCTTCCATCCACGGTCTGGAAGTCAGTCAGCACCACCTCCGGCGGGTGGGCCAGATTCTGGACTGAGCTGGCCAGGGGAGGGAGAAAGGCGCTCTTGGTTCGGATATTGGTCAGCAGGATTCTGACGTCCAGGTTCGTGTGCACGTTGGCGCCAGCATAGAAGTGCGTGATGAAATCGAGAACCTCAAACGTGGCCTGCACGGGGCTGGACTGGGGCTGAGCAGGGCCCTCCAGGCTCATGCCCGGCTGCAGGTGTACATAGAGTGTGTGGTTCACCAGCCGGGCCGCAGAGGTCAGGATAGGGGCCAGGCGAGGGACCAGGGAGGCCAGCGGCGTCGTCAGCACCAGGAGGCCCGACCGGAATAAGGCCATGCTGCCTAGGCCTGCAGACAGTCAGGGAGACCAGCAGAGGGTAACTGAGGGGGATGTGCCTCAGGCCGACAACTGTCCGGGACCTTGGACCCAAGGCAGGGGACACGAAGGGTCTATGCCAATCGCGAGGAACCCGGGGGAGGGGACGGGGCCTGGTAAAACGCGCCTCGGGACTGTGCTGTAAGACTCGGTTTCCTTATCTCAGACGGGGAGGAGAACTCGCTGAACAGAATCGAAATCCTGGGAGAGGAAACTGGACAGGAGCCCCCGAGTCTTAGGGCTGGGGATCCAGAAATCCGGGGCCCTCCTGCTAAGCTGCACCAGGGTCTTCAAGGAATCAAAGGAGGAGGCTAAAGGCAGACACTCAGGCTCAGTTCGATTCCCTACTTACGGATACCTCCGGGGTTCGGTTCCACTTGTAAGACCGCTGAAGCTTGCTCCCAAGGCAACCCGGAAACACTTGGTTTAGGAACTGCGACTCCAAGCTACGGAACCCGAGAGAGGCCAAAAGTCTCGAGTGCTGGCGGAGCGGGATTATCGCGGGATTTTTCATGGGGTGGGGCGTGTTCTGCATTTGGGGCGGGGCCCAGTCGGAGGCTTGGGCGAAGAGTGAGTTCTTTCCAGACCCGAGCCGCGCAGGCGCGGTGCGGAGGAGGGCAAGGCTGGCGCGAAAGCCCATTTCACCGACAGCCTTCAGACCCTGAGAGATTGGCTTCAGCCAGGTCATCAAGGAGACAGTTACAAAGGCAGAATACCTGGTTTTCTTTCTTAATAAATTATAGGGACGGAGGTAGGGGTGGGGACCCAGGGTAGCGCTTAAATTAGAACTCGGGGTTCCTGCAGTCCTCCTGGCTCCCCCTAGTCCGAGGATCTTTACGTAGGAAGCCACAGGGGAATAAAACAACAACACTCTGTCCAAGTCCCCATTTCACAGATGGGAAGACTGAGGTCCTTCCTGTATGTTTCAGGAACATATAGGGAGGTAATGACAGATGCCCTGTCTTGTGGCTTCGTGGCTCCCGTGGGATGCTCTACATATCCCACAAAACCAGTGATGCGCCAGTTTGCGGGAGAGAGCAGGGGGAGAGCTCTACCTGTGAGCTAGTAGAGCCGACAGACACGGTCTCTGTGGACAGGAATAAGGTGGCAAGAGCCGAGGCGAGGGTTTACCGTGAAGCTAGTGAGTGCTGGAAAAGCTGGAATTGGTAGTCTCCGTGACGGGGAAAGCCAGGTTGCCATCAGGAAACATTTCAGCTAACTTGTCCATGCAGATCTCAAAAGGAAGGAAAAGCAATCTCTAGGATTCCAGTAATGTGCTGTGCTTTATTTTCCCAAACAAAATAAATGCTAACTTTCACATTACTTATGTGTTTGTTTTTGTATTTTTTATTTTTTTTTATCCTCACCGGAGGACATTTTCGCATTTATCTTCAGATAGAGAGGGAGGGAAAAAGGGAGGAAGAGAGAGAGAAACATTGATGTGAGAGAGACACATCGACTGGTTACCACCCATACAACACCAACCGGGGCAGGGACAAACTGCAACCAAGGTACATGCCCTTAGCGGGAACCGAACCCGGGATTCTCCAGTTTGCAGGCCGATGCTCTAACCGCTGAGCAAACCAGCCAGGACTGTTTTTGTGTTGAGTTTCCTCCAACGTGCATAAGCCTCTGGCCTCACAGAACCTGGACCTGCCCCTGGAGTTAAAGATGGGAAGTTATAGCCCTGGCCAGTTTGGCTCAGTGGTTAGAGTGTCAGCCTGCGGTCCAGAGAGACCCAGGTTCAGTTCCCGCTAAGGGCACGTACCTCGGTTGCAGTTTGTCCCCAGCCCTGGTTAGGTTGTGCAGGTGGCAACCACTCGATGTGTCCCTTTCACGTTGATGTTTCTCTCTCTCTCTCTCCCTCCCACTCTATCTAAACAAAAAAAGAAAAAGAAAAAATGTCCTCAGGTGAGGATTAAAAAAAAAAAAAAAAAAGATGGGAAGTTATAGAACCACAAAGACACTGAGGCCAGGCTTCTTGTAGGAGACATCTTAAGTTGGACTTTAAAGAGAGGAGCAGTTTGAAAAAGCAAACTGCAAAGACTCTCAGGAACTGCTCTGAAACTGGACACAGTCTCATGTGCCTACGCTGAGTCACTGTTGGAGGAGGGCACTGAGGGCAACTGCTGGTTGACCGTTGAGCTGGTCCTACACATTAGGAAGTTCTTCACCCCCTCTCCTGTCCTTGGAATGGATGTTCTCTGCACTATTCTCACAATGGGAGCTGTCTTCAAGGACGAAGCCTTGAGAAAGCAATGTGTTGTTGAGACCATCTGGACAGTGTAAGCGACTGAACCTAGTTAAAAGCCTCCATATAAACTTTTAAGATTCTGGTGGATGGGTGCAGAGATCTACTTGTCTTGTGTCCATGCAGGACAAACCTGGTAAATTTTCTTCTTGCTTATTAAACCTGCCACCTAACCACTCTGCTGTACACCTGAAACTAATACAAAATAATACTGAATGTGTACTGTAGTTTAAAAACAAAATAAATTTTAAAACACGCTGCAACCTACTAATCTGGAGTGGTCTGCCTCTTTCTTCACCCTCTGTGTACGGGGGACCAGTTTCAGATTCCAGCCGGGGAACTCCCCAGGTTGTAAACCAAAAATTGGCAAGCCTTCTAGGAGACCGAAAAAAATGGGCCTTGGGAAAGAAGTATCCACTGGGGAAATTCAGGTTGGCCATTGACCTGTGCATGGGGACAGGTGGTCTGTATGTTAGATGCTTGTGGACCATCACATGAGTACAGGGACACCCCACACACCAGCAGGCCTAATGTGCTTGTTTGAGGAACTGCATGTAGTGCACTGCAGCAAAGAAGGGAGCCCCGTGACTGCCGCAGTGGGCTGGCCTCTCCTGCGGGCACTTGGACCCACCGCCAGTGCCCAACTAGAGGCTGAAGCTTGAGTTAGAAAGTGAGAAGAAGAGCTGAGGTTAGAAAGGACGGGCAGTTGTTCACAACTCTGCTTGCTTTGGGCTGGTAGACAGGTGCGACAGCAGGATAATAAGTTGGAGACTTTAGCATGCTGTTTTGCAAAATGAGGAGGGCACACGCTGCCTGAGTGCTTGTGACAAAGCCTGATTAAGAGGTGGGATCCCTGGGAAAGTGAGGAGAAGGAAGGGTGGAGATAGTGTGGTGATTGACAGTAAAATGGACAAAACCAACCCCTAATACAAAGGAAAGCAAAAACCCAGCAATGGTAACCCCAGCCAGTGGGGCAGTCCTCAATTCAAGAAAAATTCCTGATGAGAGAATATGCTCTGACTGAGCTTAATGATATAGCTGCTAAATTGCAGCAAAGAGCTAGGGACGGTATCCTGGTATGGCTAGTGCAGCTATGGCATGGGAGGGGGAAGCAATAGCATTTCTCTGACCAGGCAGGAGACAGAGAAAATGAGTGACATCACTACACACCCTGTCTTCCAGCAGCACCTACATAGCACTTGGGGGGTTCAAGGTACTCACTCCCTTATGTATTGGATTATTCTAGCCTGCAGCGAGGCTTGGCTCAATGAAAGGGATATCCCTGGGCTTGGGGACCTTGGAAATCTATAAAGAAGGTACAGCAGCTTCTTAGGGAATTGGGAATGAGACACACCATCTACGTTCCTGCCTGTGAAGGCTACATTCGCTGAAGAAATGAAAGCCAGGATACTCCAGTCCTCCCCAGCACCTGGGAGTGACACCGAAATCCATGACAAATCATCGTGGGACAAGACAAGGTGTCTGCCCTCCTGGAACTTAGATTCCTATGTGTCTTTGGATGGTGAAGGCTATAAATAAATCTATAATGATAAAGTCAATAAGAAAATAAATAAATGTGTAACACATCTAGTGGTGATAAGTTCTATGAAGAAAAATAAAACAGGGTAAGGGGACTATAGAGGAGGGGCGGACAAGCTATTTCAGATGGGGGCACCCACAAAAACAACAAAGACCCGAAGAGAGGTGAACTACACAGAGGAAACGAACAGCTCAAAGGCCTTGGGGCAGAAGGCCAGTAGGGCTGGATCAAATGAGAGAGAGTAGTAAGAAATTCAAAAAGGCCCTGGCTGGTTTGGCTCAGAGCGTTGGCCTGCGGTCCAGAGAGACCCAGGTTTGGTTCCCGCTAAGGGCACGTACCTCAGTTGCAGTTTGTCCCCGGCCCTGGTTGGTCATGCAGGAGGCAGCCACTCAATGTGTCCCTTTCACGTCTATGTTTCTCTCTCTCTCTCTCTCTCAACAAAAAATGGAAAAATATTCTCGGGTGAGGATAAAAAAATAAAAATAAATAAAAGAAATTCAAAAAGGAGTTGGAGCCAGATCAACAAAGGTGTTGGGAGGCCTTGGGGGAAAACCTTAGATTTTACAGAGGCTGCACAAGGTGTTTTGAGTAGAGACATTAAATGAGTAGACTTTCCTTCTTTCTTTTAGACTTTCATTTTTAAAAGATCATTCTGGCTGCACTGTGGAAACTTTACTGTTGGTGGGCAAGGGTGGAATCAGGGAAATTAGTTAGGAAGCTACTGCAAAAATCCAGGAGAGATGATAGTGCATAGATCAGGGTAATTTCCAAATATTCCTTAAAGATTGAAGGTAGAGCTGTCAGTATTTGCTGGATTGGATGAGGGATGGGAGAGAGACTGGAGTCAAGGTTTTTGGACTGAGCAGCTGGAAGCTGTAATATACTGAGGTAGGGAAGGCTGGGAGGGCTGGAAATAAAAAATTGGGGTTTAAACACATTAAGTTTATTAGGCATCAAGATGTTGAGCAGGCAGTTGGAGATATTTAAGACTGGAGTTTTGGAAGACAACGGAGTTGGAGATATGTGGGTTTTTTTTGTTGTGGGGGACGGGGGTCACCAGCATGGAAATGATATTCAAAGTCATGAGACTGCTACTGAATCACCTACCAAAATTCAGGCTTATATACCTGATGTACTAGTAGGCCAAAACATTCAGACATCAGTGCTTGGAGACAGAGAAAGCTTTATTCGATTTGACCAAAGCAAGAGGATGGGAGAGCAAGATCTCTCAAATTTGTCTCTCCCCAAAAGCAGAAAAGCAGGGCGTTTTTATGTGGCTAGGGAGTTCGGGAGAGGGAGTTTCAGGGAACTGAGAGAGAAGTCTGTTTCTTCAATCACAGATAACTTTTTCTGCATCAGACTCCTGGGTACCAGCAGCTGGTCATCGCTACCTTGAAGACATTCTTTCCTTCTGCAAAACAAACTCATAAATTCTCTTCTTGCCCCTGAAGTTATCTCCTCCTGCTTGGCAAAGAGATACCACATCAGCAACTTATTACTACATTCCTGAGAGCAAAAGGAGTTGAGCAAGAAGAGTGGTTGACATTGAACAAGGGCCTAATTAAGAATTAAATTATTTCATTCTAGCCGCCAAAAAATAATATGAGCATTAAAATCACAAGGGGCTCAGCTACAGGACTGCTTAGGATTATTAAGAGTATGGATGTATGGCCCTGGCCGGTTTGGCTCAGAGGTTGGAGTGTCGGCCTGCAGTACAGAGAGACCCGGGTTCGGTTCCCGCTAAGGGCACGTACCTCGGTTGCAGTTTGTCCCCGGCCCTGGTTGGTCGTGCGGGTGGCAGCCACTCGATGTGTCCCTTCATATCGATGTTTCTCTCTCTCTCTCTCTCTCTTCCTCTCTCTCCCTCCCGCTCTATCTGAACAAAAAGTGGAAAAATGTCCTCGGGTGAGGATAAAAAAAAAAAAAAGAGTATGGATGTATGGAAGAGAGTGGTCACATTCTCCTGTCTCATCATCACGTCCCCCCACGGGTGACCTTGTGAGCACATACACACACTCGCACACACAACTGCAAAGAGAACAGGCCCCACACCTCAGAGCTGCATGCCACCTTGGCCCTGACCCTTTCCTGTGGTTTTTCTGAATGCTGCAGGGGCAGCAGACCCATCCGGGTCAGCAGGACAGGGAGAGAGGTAGGGACCGGGTGGCTGAGTCCCCTTTGTGAACCTCCCCTCAGGAGAAGAAGCAGCAGGCAGTGCAAAGGCCCAGAGCAAATCATTATCAGGAGGTAGGGGCAGGGCAGGATCCAGCGTCTCCTTCCCCCAAAGTCCCACACAAAGTCCCAAGAACCCCAATAAGTTTCTTGTTAGTCCCACCTCCAGGCTTTCCGCAGCCCTGCCCCTGGTTAGCCCCTCCCCTTTCCTCTCCCCCTCCCCCTCTCCCTCCTCTAGTCTCTCTGGGCACTGTCACCTCAAAGGTACCCCTGCCTCTTTCCTCGCCTGCAATCTCCTTATCTAGTTTCTATCTGTTCACCCCTCCTCCAGCACTCAACCTGGGAGGGAGTTAGAAGGAGCTTTGCCTCCACAACCCTGCAGGCCCTTCCAGTGGCTCCTGACACTCTAGCTCCTTCCAGTGGCTTCTGGAAAGAGGACAGACCACTGAACAGAACACCTAGACCTGGAGCTTCAGCTAAACCTGGCAAGGGGCAGCTTCTGGGCTGGTGGGGATCTCTCCTACTGAGTTTTGTCTAGGACAAGGGGCAAGGAGGAGGGTGAGTAGGACTGCCTTTTTAAATTCATTTGGCCTTATTTCTTCCTTATACATCTATTTTCCGCATGGGAATACAATTACAATACTAGTAATACCACTAGTAGTAATAATAGTCGTGTCTGCTATGAAGACCTCTATACCAACACGTCCAGGCATTATCTCAATTAGTTCTTACTACGATCCATGACATAGGTATTATACCCATTTTACAGATAAGAAAACAGATTCAGAGAAGGTAAAGAACTTGCCTGTGGTCCCATGACTAGTGGGGGCCAAGTCACAACAAGACTTTCCCCTCATCCAAGTCTGTCTAACTCCTACTGCTGCAGACAGAGCAGTGGACTTGAGGCGTGACCCTGGCTAGCCGTTCCCTCATTCTGGGAGGTTTCCAGGTAGGTGTACCCGGGCTAACAAGTACGTCCACCCGCTGCACCCGCCAGTGCACTGCAGTCCCTCTCGGTTCCCCAGAACCGCACATCCCCGGGGACACAAAGAAGAGAGAGGGGGACCATGGGACCAGGCCTTTATTTTGGGGCGGCAGGAGGAGAGCCGAGCTCAGGACCCCCCAGTTCTCCAGCTCCGGCCTCCGTCTGGGCACCGTCCAGACCCTCGACGGGCTTGTCACTGAACACTGTTCGGTGCATGGCAGCGACATAGCTGCGGCCGCTGGGGTCTGCGAGGCGCAGCCGCACCAGGGGCAGGATGCGCTCCGAGGTGAAGTAGCGCAGGGCTGGCTGCGGAGCGCGCAGCGCGGTGAGGAAGACCTGCGGGGGCAGAGGCCGTGCGCTGGCAGGGGCTGGGTGCCAGACCTCCAGTGCCCACCCGCTCCTGGAGCCCGCCTGGCACCCACCTCGGTCACCTCCTCTGGGTCCTGCGCCGCCTCGCGAAAGACCTGCTCGAAGTGGTGCTGGTACTGGGAGAAAAGGTCTCGGGTTTGGGCGTCCGCACTGTCCAGCACCGCGCCGAGGCCGCCCTGGACCTTCTCCCGGAAGGCCGTGCGCACCGGGCCGCACTCGATGAGGCTCACACTGCGACCCGAGAGCAGTGAGTGGGCTGGGGGCCAGTGCGAACAGGGCCTCGACCTGGTCCCCTGGCCCTGGACCCCGAGCAGAGCCCAGAGGGAGGGTGGGAAGGGGTCTAGCACTGGCAGGTGTCGGGCTCTTAGGCTACCAGAGAACTTGAAAAGTCGTTCACTGCCTGAAAAGCCCTCCCACTTCCACCTGAGGGTGTGAGAGCAACTTTGGCTCAAAATTCCAGCTTGGCTGGGTCATGTACTGTGTGACCTTGGGGCAGTCAGCTAATCTCTCTGGGCCTGAGCTTCCCAATAATAATACAGACACCTCACTAGCTAGGTCGCAGGCGTCATGGGCCCAGGACAGTGCTTGGCACACAACAAATATGGGCCAAGTAGGGAGGGGCCAGGGAGAACACCTGGGAGAAGCTCCAATGAGATGGGGTTTGGGGGTTCCCAGAGTCAGAGTTCTGAGGGTTCCAGGGTTTGGGGAGGTGACTCACTGGATCCCGAATGGCGGCAGCAGAACCGCCAGACTCTCGCATAAACCTTCGACTGCGAACTTGCTGGCACAGTAAACAGCGTTGAAGGGTAGCCCTTTGGGGGAGATGAGGCTGCTGAGACTCCTGTGGGAGCACATCGGCGGAAAGCCCGCTGGGGCACCCAGTGCTAATCTCACCCGGCCCAGCACTCACCCACTCACCCACTCACCCATCAAGCCTCCCATGCTCCCAGTCACCAGTATACGTCCTGAGCGGCGGCGCTTCATGTCTGGCAGGAAAGCTTGAAGCATTTGCACCATCCCGACCAAGTTCACGTCCAGCACAGAGCCCACAGCGTCCGCTGAGTGCATCTCGAGCGGCCCGTGCAGGCCTCGGCCGGCATTGCACACTGGGGGAGAGGTCCATCCCATGAGCCTCGTGCACCGCCCTCTGCCCCAGCCAGTCCCTCTCTGTTCCCTGGGCCTCAGGACACCTCAGTTAGGACACAGGGCAGGGAAGGCTCTTGCACATGTGTTTTGGGGAGGCTCACCCAACACGTCCACACGGCCCTCAGTCACACGTGCCCTGGCAGCAGCCACGGAATCTGCATCCTGCACATCCAGCTGCAATGTCTCCAGGGAACCTGGAGGGCACCCTTGGGACCCGGCTGCCTCCCACAGCGGGCCCTGTGTGCTCAGGTCTCGTAAAGTGGCATACACTGGATGTTAGGGGACAAGATGAGGATCTGAATGAACTGCTTAACTTATCCTGGTCCCCTTGGACCAGGGGCTGCTCCCTTTTCTCCAACCCACTCCCCTCTGGTACCTTTGAAGCTCTGGGATGGGTCTGATGCCAGACGCAGAGCCAGGTGCAGGCCGATGCCTGAGGAGCAGCCGGTGATGAGCACCACAGTGCGGTCCATAGGGAGAGGCGTGTGGGAGAGGCTCTGGCAGTGCTAGACTCTAGTCTCTGGACTAAATATCACCTGCTCTGCCCTGCCCCTCCCACCAGAGGTCCCCTCCCCACCCCTTGTTGTGTCTTCAGCACCACCTCAAGGCTGAACCCTCCAGAGGTCCCGGGCCTGCTCTCCCCACTCCGCTCTAGGTCAAGGCAGAGATGAGGCCACTGCTCGGAACACCCGTCTTTAGTTGGTCAGAGGTAGAACAAAACTTTGCAATCAGGAGGTGTGGGCTCCTATGTGGGCACTGAGTGACCTGGGCAGATCTCCCCCGAGGTATGCCTCTGTCCCACAGGGACAATGATAGTTTCCAAAGTTTGCTGCCAAGGGTATGAAAAGAAATGCCTTGGGAAGACATTCCCAGTTCAAAGGTCAGGGGTTAGTATTAAAAATGGGGAGACTTGCCCTGGCCGGTTTGGCTCAGCGGTTAGAGCGTCGGCCTGTGGTCCTGAGAGACCCGGGTTCGGTTCCCGCTAAGGGCGCGTACCTCGGTTGCAGTTTGTCCCCAGCCCTGGTCGGTTGTGAATGGGGACTGCTGCTGGTGCAGCTCAGTGATTGAGCGTTGACCTGTGCACCAAGAGGTCACCAGTTCAGTTCCTGGTCAGGGCATATGCCCAGGTTGTGGGCCTGATCCCCAGTGGGGGGCATGCAGGAGGAGTCAATCCATGTTCTTTCTCATCAATGTTTCTATCTCTCTCTCCCTCTCCCTTCCTCTCTCTCTAAAAAAATCAATAAAGAAATTTTTTTTTAAAAAATGGGGAGCCTGGCCGGTTTGCTCCGTGGCTAGAGCGTCGGCCTGCGGATCAGAGTCATGGGTTTGATTCCGGTCAAGGACATGTACCTCAGTTGCAGTTCGGTCCCTGCCCTGGTCGGGGTCGTGCATGAGGCAACCAATCAATGTGTCTCTCTCATGTCGATGTTTCTCTCTCTCTCCCTTCCACTCTGTCTAAAGATAAATGGAAAAAATATCCTTGGGTGAGGATTTATTTTAAAAAAAAGGAGGGGGGGGGCCCTGGCCAGTTTCGCTCAGTGGTTAGCCCGTGGACCAGAGAGTCCGGGTTCGGTTCCCACTAAGGGCACGTACCTCAGTTGCAGTTTGTCCTGGGTTTGCTTGGAGTTGTGTGGGTGGCAACCACTGGATGTGTCTCTTTCACATCGATGTTTCTCTCCCTGTGTTCTCCCCACTCTCCCTCCTGCTCTATCTGAAGATAAAAGCAAAAATGTCCTCAGGTGAGGATAAAAAAATGGGGAGACTAAGGCAAGGGGGCAGGGAGGACTGGCCTCATACCAGTGTCCGTGCTATAACCCCGAGTCCTCCCAGGCATAGTAGCAGTGACAGTTAGACAGACAGGCCCAGGTGACTCATCAATTTATTAAGTTGTATTAAAATAGTACTTTGATCCAAAATTTGGGGTGGTGGGGGAGGGCAGCTCACTTCCCTCCAAATCTCCCATCCTTGATCTAACCGGTAGGTCTTGAGTTCCTTGGCCCAGGCCTGGGGACCTCCAGTGATGCTTGCCCAGCCCCAGACCCTGGGAACCTGCCTGGACCTGGAGTTTGGGGAGAACATGGCCCAGGGGTGGTTAATCTGTCACAAGGAGCCAGCCACCCACCGGGGGTAATATTTGAGGAAGAGCTTCTTGGCCAGGTCCACAGTGTCACCTTGGGGCTGGGAAGGGTACCTCCGCGTATTGAGGACAAAGGTCTGCTCCAGCTGGAAGGCGTTCTTATCAAACTGGTGCTGTTGGAAGGGGGTGCTCTGGACCAGGCTATCAGCCAGCATCTCCATGAAGAGCTGCCAGCGGGGGGTGTAGTAGTCAGCCACCAGTCCTGCCAGCTGCTTGTTGGCATAGTCTAGAATGTTGCCTTCTGGCCCCCAAAGGGTCAGCTGGTAGCGGCTGTTCTGTTCATAGAAATGGGCCTCGGCCTCACTGACCGCTGCTGCCCGGGCCTGCTCCAGCCAGCTGCCCAGTAGGAAGTGGCCGTCGCTAGCCAGTATGCTGTCCAGTGAGGGCAGAAGCTCATAGGCCAGGATGCCTGCTGCCCTCAGCAGGGGAACCAGCTCCTTGTTCAGGTAGGCAGTCCTCACCTCCTCATAGTACAAGCTGACCAGCTCCTGGACCGCCTGGCGAGTGATGTCCACTAGGTCATAGCGGAAGGACGGGCTGGTGGCCAGGGTGGGGGTAGCTGTCAGCAGCAGCCGCCAGGCCTCAAACACATCTGATCGGTTGTACCAGACAGTGGTAACCATCTGTAGGGATGGCCGTTTGACCAGCGGGCTGCGATTGTGGCCACTGCAGGCCTCGCCAGAGCAGTTGTAGACACTCCTGAGAAGTAGCCTCCATGCCGCCTCTGCACCCTCATGGGAGACCCCATACCGTCGGGCTGCAAAGCTGGTCACCCAGGCCTCCAAATCTGTCACTGGGTCCTTCCGCCAGCCCAGCTCAGCCATGAGGGCATAGACCACTTCATTCTGGCCAATACCTTCAGGTGCCATGCCCGTGCCTACCATGGTGGAGTTGGGGAAGAGGCGGCCAGCCGCAGGGCCTTGGTTCACGGCTTCCAGGGCCCCAAACAGGCCGTGGTTGCCCCCAAAGTTATGCAGCATGCACCAGATGAAGGGCTGGCCCTGGAAGGAGGCTGTGCGGATGTACACGGGCTGGCTCTCAGCAAACAGGTCCAGAACCAGGAGGCGGCCCCGGGGCACTGCCCTGAGCACAGCCTCCACCTGGGCAGGGCCCCAGAACTGGGGCTGGTGCTGGAAGAGCCAGCCTTGGAGGAGCCATACGGCGTCAGGGTCCACTGTGGTTGGGTGAGGGGACCGAGAAGAGAGGTGATAAGAGAGGGGGTCAGGGCAACATTCACCCCATTCTACAGAGAGGAGTTAAATAACTCTATCCCAGGACACTTCCTTCCCCTGTACCCCACAACCAGCAGGGCATTTTCCACACACGCCCTTCCCGTCTCCTCCTTCCTCCCCTGGGAGCTCCAGGACGGTGTTATCAGGCTTCAGGGAGCATCGGAATTACCCAGAGCGCTGGTTCAAACACACTCACGGGCTCCAGCCCTGGTTATTCTCAGTCGGGGGGTGGAGAAGCTGCATCTGCAGATCTAACCGGCTCTGGGCTGCAGCAGACTTGGAGCAGCCCTCCTCAAGAAACCCTGAACCTGTCGGTTCCCTTCCCGGCTACACAGAGGCCTCCCCACCAAGCCACTCCTGACCTGGCTCCTCTCCCTCCTCCCCGTGAGTGGCCGGAAGAAGCACTGGGTTCACATTTGTGCACCAGGAAGCGCACCTACCAGCTTTGGGCAAATTCCCGAATCTCTGGCCTGCGATATGTACCCCAGCATGGAGGTAGAGACCAAAAAAAATACAGGGTTGGCAAAAGTAGGTTTACAGTGGTAACAGATAGTACAATAAATACATAATAAAGCAACAACTGTGTTTCACACACTCACAAGTGTAGCCCTACTTTTGCTCACCCCTGTATTTTCCATAGCCAGCGCTTGGTGACTCTGTACCCTGGGCCCGGCATCGTTCCACTTCTGAGGGAGCCCCAGCTTATAGAGAAAGCAACCGAGACACTGGGAGGGGGTAACCTGTTGCAAGTCGCACAGGCAGGAAGTGGCAGTGCCAGAGTTTGAGCGGGTTGTCTGCTTCCAGAGCTCACCTCTCGGCTAGTGTGAGTAAATGAGCCGGTGTGTGTGTACTCGTGCTTGGTAAACTAAAAAGTGCTGTGTATTCCCAGTCCCTTCTCCCAGCCCTACCTCCCTGAGGTCCAGGGGCTCCCCTCCCCACCTCCCCCCATCACCAAACCTGCGATCATGGCCTTGTAGACAGCGGCAGTGGCTGCGGCGAGGTAGGAGGGCTCCGAGGACGGGGGCTGCATCTCATTGAAAGTGTCGGCCCCATAGATGTGATCTGTGCCAAACTCTTTGGTCAGCTCCCGCAGGAAGAGGCTCCCCACAATAGGGAACAGGGGGTCTTCCGGAGCCAGAAGGAAGGAGCAGGAGTAGGAGCAGTTGAAGTGCCCCCAGCTGCCCATCTGGGTGACATTGACCCGAGGGAACACCCTGGTTGGGGTAGGAACAGTCCAGACATTTAGTGGAGGCAGACACAGTATTCATTGCCAGCCCCATTAACTTACCTGCAGCTCCTGGAACTCATCCTGGTCCCTCATGCCTCCGGCCTTTGCACATACTGTGCCCCTGTGCCTGGAGTCTCCTCCTCCCTCCCTGCTCATTCGCTGGCTACTCCTTGACAGCTCTTAAGTTTCACCTTGTCTGGAAAGCTTTTGCTGTCTCTCCTCTCCCACTATCTGAAACAAGCAACATTCATTTCTCAAGGTCTGGCCCAGGACTGCCTCTGCTCTGAGCCCTTGCGGCTGCTCTTCCCCAGATAGAAGTGACCCTGACAGAGAAGTGGCCCTGTCACTGTATTGTACTCCCTGCCAACCTATCTCCCACCAGGGGCAGGAACTCAGCACACCTTTGTCGCTGCCTCCCCAGGGCCCAGCACAGAGCCGGGTCTGGCATTCCCAGACAGCATGACAAACGTTCACCGAATGTATGCACGAGGCCCCTGCCACCCAGTTGGAGAGACGAAGGGGTGGCCAGTGAGGCACTAAGTACTGTTGAGAGCGGTGGAAACCAGGTGCTCGTGGGCATGAAGGAGGTGGTGACCAGTGCTGGGGCCCCAGGCGTGGCTTCCTGAAGGAGGGGCGGTCTCAGCTGGGCCTTGAAGAATTTCCCCAGCCCCAGGAGAGGATGGGTGGGTAGCACAGAGGGGCAGGAAGGAGAGAGACCAGTGCACCCCTATTACCACTCATAGAGCTGCCTTTGCTAAGTCTCGGTGCCAAGCCATGTGTATTTTACAAGTGCGGTAGCTGAGGCACAGAGCAGTCACATAATCTGTCCAAGGTCACATGGCTAGTGGATAGCAGAGCCAGGAATCAAGTCAGGGT